TTAAATTAAAATAATGCGGATTTATTGTTTTGTACGAATACTTTTTTCACCCGAAAAGTGAACATGTTGCATTGTTTTTTGTTGCATTGAGATTTAATTTCTTTTGATAGTATTTTTGAATACTATGCATCTATATACATAATTTAAATCACTTTTCCTGTTAATTTTGTGTACTTACATACATTAAAATACGATTTTTCAAGTGTACGAATATTTATTTCCCCCCACTGTATGAAAAAATCATGATTTTTTTTATAAAAAATCAAGTGATTTAATCACATGATTTAATCATTTTTATTTAATCATTGCTAACTCTGCTCCATACATACTTTACAAAGCTAATAAATAGACTTATAAATAATTGTTTACCCAAATGTCCCAAAGTGGCAAACACCACCTTGGCCATCATTGAAGGCTATAAGTGCCATTTTTAGCCATCAATTGTGATCCATATACTATTATTGTTTGTAGGCTAATTGCAACATTAAAAATAACATTTCAAAAAGACAAAAAAGCTGAAAAATTCAAATAAATAAAAGAAAATCATGAAAAAATCATTGATTTTTTATTTTTCGATTTTTTTTTTAAAAATCACCAACCCTGGGAGCAATTGAAGTCAGGTTTCGATGACAGCGTGGTAATGTTCTCTTGGAACCATGCTAACATTCTCTTCATTTAACATGGAAAAAGCATCATCAGAGCAAACATAATTAATTTATTTAGTTCTAAGGGAATGCAAAATGGGTACACTCACCACTTATTGTCATATATCATGGAAGATTTGCAAATTTTGATTAAATTTTATGATATCAGATCATAAAGGCAACCACAGCTGTAGTTCATACCCAATAACTCTTGGGGAGTAGATCTACCAGTGTGAAGTTGCAAAGTCGTCTTATAGAGTGAGTGTTATCTGTGAAGCATGTAAATGGTTGCATTCACGTTATGTTACTGCTTTTTGGCAAGCTCGTATACAGCTGACTCAATTTGCTTCTGCAACTCCCATCTTCCCACCTCATTCAATTCTTCCATGGATTTTGGACTTGCATCCTCTCTGCAGAGTTCAATGATACTTCAGTTTACTTAAAGATATGTATAAAACTCAATAGGTAATGTCAAAGCCTATCAATCTTGAATATTGAGCAGAATTTTCCTAAAATTGCTTACAAAAATCATCGTTTCATGGGTAATTTTTGTAAATTGCAGCTAAAACTGTGCTGTTTTTTATATTTTTTTACTGAAGAACCTGGAAAAAGATCATAGTAGCAGGTGAAATTGACCACAATCATGGACATACATTTGTCTCAGTCGTGGGCAGCTTCTGCCCAATTTACCAGTTTGGAACAATAAGCTCTCTGGTTAGACTACATGGAGTCATGAGATTTACAAAAAAAGTCAATCTTTTCTTGAAAACTGTAGTTATAGGAGCCTCATCACTAATCACCAAATTATGTTTTTCAGGCTGAATTTTCCCTGATGTCCTTTGAGGGAGTGCAAGTTCAAGGAGCTGTTCAAATTATGGAAAAAATTAAGGTATATTCATATTCGTCATAATTGATTAAAATATTATTACAATATTACCTCGTTCAAATACTGGTGTGAAACCTGTGTTATAAGAGCATTTTTTGATTTGAAAAATCATTTTAATTATAATATTCTGACAAATTCAGCAGTTTATCTTTATTTTCCCTTAGTGGTAGTTTTTATTTATTTCAGAATCTTATAAAGATATGGTAAGATAAGATATCTTACCATAAGGTTAAGATAAGATATCTTAACAAGATATCTTTCTTGTTAATTAGACTTAATTCGGTCCTGGTAAAATTTGTTCAACTCAAAATTTTCATGGTTTTGACTATTTAATTCATAGTTTGAATATTTTTGTTTCTATGAGTGTGATGACAAAAATAAGTAACAAGTTTTCCTTCCCAGGCGCTGACATTTCAAAAGATAGCCCGTGTGATCACCACTGTGGACTGCCAACCAATGTTTGATGGTGGAGTTCTAATTAATGTTCTTGGGCAACTCAAGGTATTGTTATATAGGGAATATTTCTTGTCTCTGATAATGTATGCTGTTGCTATCAATGGTATCATGAAGTTTTGAGCATTCTTGTAATTTATTTCTATAGTTTCTCTGTTTTTTCAAGTGAAACTTTTGATATTTAAGATTTTTATGTGTTGAATTCTAGTGAATTTTATGCTGGAAGCTTGGTTCTGGGATACTGTTTCAAATGTTTTATATGGTTTGGTTAAATTTTCAGATTCTAGTTTGGGGAACTTCAGTTTGGGCTGAGTTTACCATGTATTTTAAGGTTCTTAAGTTCACTTGGAGGCATGGTCCATTACAAATAACTTGAGAATTCCCTATGGAAATGAGATTTTGTCATGGAAATCTGAAGCTGTCTCATCAAATTGATTATTCTCACACTATTTTTCCTGATTTACTTGCTGCTCTTGATGGTAGATGGACGAAGAAAAACCCCACGGCTTCCACCAAACATTTGCACTGAAGCCACTAGAAGGAAGCTTCTTTGTTCAGCACGACCTCTTCAGACTGGCTTTGCATCATCTGCCAGCGTAGCATCTTTGACTCTGACTATTTCTTGGCATTTGGAGTTAACTTCTACTTAATTCAGTTAATAGCTCTCTCATTTAGATGATATTATCACCCGACTTCCTGAATGCTTCACAATAATTTTTCCATTAGCTCGTTCTATATTTCAGCCCCAACAAAAGTTCTTGCATTTTCTCTCTAAACTCTTCACGAAACAGTTTAACTGTTCACTTGTTCTAGTTGTTTTGACCAGTCTGCTTTATTGCTAATGTGGTTAAACTTCCTACGTATATAAATGTGCATGTACTGAACATCTCAACAGCCACACTAATTGGTTATTTTTAACTGACATTGAATGTGCCGCAAAATAGATTATGCATTTCTGGAGTACTAGAAACCCCTTTACAACTGCAGACATCTTTTCACTCCGAGTGCCTCCACATTTTCTTCCACCTTAATCGTTTGACTCACTTGACTAATAGACTCATGACTTTAGTTACTTTAACTATTCCAAAAGTATCCATTATTATTTATTGCCTACTAGCCAATTGGTAATTTTTCAAATTTCATGCCCACTTAATTGTTTAACTTGTCATTTAATTACACATATATTTGTCTTTTCATGAATTAAAGAAATCTTGATTGTTTGCGATATAAAAATGCCAAATAATTTTGATTTTTTTGCAATGACAAAATGCCAGACTAAAGGAAATCGTTCTTGTTGACTCAATAGCTTCTTTCCTGGCATAGTTGCATCCTCTTTGAGGCCTTCTTTTGCCTGCAATTAACTGCATTGTATTCTCATGCAGGTTCATCACTTGCATGCTACATTTTCAGTCAACATGCATATTTTTCCTTTTAGTGATGTTTTCCTCTCTTAAACAAGCTGGAAAACCTGCTGATTAATTATCTAGCATGTCTTCTATCATTGTATTTCTTGATTGTAGTGTACCTGCTTAATGGTGTTGTTATCCCATATGAAATTATATGTTAAGAAAAGCTACCTATAAATCATCACCAAATTAATTATTTTGTTGATTGACTGTCGTGCATTTATAAGATGTCTAAGTTTTTGTTTGGTAATTCCTCATTTGAGTGGCTAGTGCTGGAATTTGTTATGTAAGATTGTTTTGCTGGATTGCAATACCTTTATGTATTACTTGGCCGCTTCTCACCATTTCTTTGCCGTGCAAAATTTGCAAATTTTCTTCATAGTTGTGATTGGAAAAAATATTTTCATTGCATTATAATCATCTTCTTCCAAGCTAACTTTAAACTGATATAGTACATGGAAAGTTAACTTTATTGCAAATTGAATGAGTTCTAATTGCTATATGATTGTTTAGTCCATTCTTGTACTCATTCCTTTCTGTTGAAAATTATTTTCAGCACCAATATTAATTCAGACTATGATATAGTAGCAAGTATAGTTGAATCCTGATTATTTTACAACTTGGTTTATAAGTTCCCCTCCTATTATATTTCACTAATAGCTATTCAAATCATAATTATTATAGCCGTGATAATTTTACAGTTTTTTTATCATATTTCTTCATATTTATTCGTGGTGTCTTCTGAAATTCAAACTTGCAGTTGATATTCAAAGCAATTATTTGTGAAAACTGGTGCATTTTTCTGGAATTTTGGCAAGGCCAGCTTAGTATTATTACCTAGTAGCTCAATTATTGTAGGCAAGGATGAATAGACTAAGTCTTTTTCATGTAATGGATCTCAAATTGTTTTTTCTGGAGGATCTCAGAACTTGTCTATAGACCAGATCTTTCAAATACAGTTTTTTTTATTTATGCTATGATTATTAATGCCCTTTGACTTTCTTACAGATGGACGAAGACCCTGTCCATGGGTTTTCTCAAACCTTCTGTCTGAAACCATTGGGTGACTCCTTCTTCATTCAGCACGACAGTTTTCGGCTAGTGATCCACAACCAATAACCTGGCTCCTTATTTCATCTGTATGCTGCACATCCCTATAGCAATTATTTTTTACACTTATTTGCTTGTGGGAAGTTGGAAGGCGTGCAGGTAAAATTATCACCTGTTACCGTGTAATCCAGTTCATTTGGCCGGTTAGCTTATCAAAATGGAAGTATATCAAAGCATATTTTACCCGTCAACATTTTATTTGGGTCAAATTAGTTGCGGTATTACAACCTAGTTTGCTAATCTTGGTTTGTACTAAATCTTGAGCCTCTCATTAGTTGCCTGTGCCGATCAATTTACCAGTTTTATTATCAGAAAAACTTATTGCCACCAAATCCCATACGCCTTTAACAATGTATTACTTATACCCTAAACTGCCCACTAATCTGCTACTGCAACCATCAATTGTAATAATTAATTTTCTCGTTCCTGGTGAGGTTTTTCAATTCGGTTTTGCTTCGTGTCTGTTAGGTAGGTAGATGTTGCTGAGCTTACTGAAGTGTTGAAAATAGCTGCGAGACTGTGATGGGTATGCTTGTATCTTAACAAGTGTTGGGTTCGTAGGCTGACATTAGTACTGCAGCCACTTTTTTCAGACGTTCTTATTGGAAAATGTAAACGTTTAATCTTTGATAGGACATTACGTCCTGCACGACTTCAGTGCTGCATCATTCACATTGTGCGGCTGTGAACCGCTTCAGCTTGCAGTCGGATGATGTAACCTCATTTAAACATAGGTCTATTAAGTGTTGCTAGACGTACGTGTGAAGGTAGTCCTAGAATTATCAGCTATACCAATAATTAGGCAGTAACTCGAGCTGAATGTACTACTCAATGCTGTGAAATGAATACTTTTACTTATGACATAAGGAACAAGATCTTGATGTTTCAGTGCTTTGTATGCGGCTAAGACCAATGGAAGATTTGATTTTCTAACGCGTTTGTATGTGCTAGATACAGATAAAGAAGTCCTGTAGAGTTGATTGGTTTGCTTGTTGATCGATCAGCTTATTTCTCTACATTTTCCTCCATTGTTCGGCACACTACGTTGACAGCTCATGTAATCACCGTAATTCATTAGGCACACTTTCCATATTCAAAAGGTTGAATTATTACTTCTAATCTGTTTAAGTATCATTTTTTCTTAAATCGCATGAATGCTGACACTGTGCGCGCCTTTAATTGATCATTTGCTTGAGTGATATGCTAGATTTTTATTTCACCTTGATCTTCATTCTACTCGGTGTTCCTGATTAAACTTTATTAACTTGATCGTCTGTTTCTTGTTAGCTAATTAGTTGCTTTAGAAATTCAGAATATTGGAAGTGAGAGATCAAATCATTTAAAAAGGTATGATAAACCTTCATGTGGATTATTTACTTTGGCGAGCTTATGTCGCGACTTGATAAATTGACCTGTTGTTGTAATTGAGTATTTTTTAGGCATTAAATGAAAAAAAATTAGAGTCGTCGCCAACCAGACCAGCAAAACCACTCTTTTATCATAACGCGAATTTCTCATTTCATTTGAATAGCTTACTCGTTCTTATCCTTGATCCATAGGTGTCTTGTGTTGTGAAGCATTGTTCCTCCTGTCTTTGAAAATGGATCTTAACGAGCGTTCAGTCTTATCATAGAAAAAGATGTAGCGGTGGCTTTAATAATAATTTGTAGGAAAGTCGTGCAAATTTGAAGACGTTTCAAAATTTTCCATTACTTATAATCTTACCTGGGATTTCAGGTTTGTGTGGCTGACGTTCATAATGTCTGGCACTATTGTGGCCTAAGCTGTTTGCTTCATTTACTTACTAACATTTGTCACCCTTAATATTGCCGCATAATTGACTGGAAACTACGATTGCTCGCTGGTGCTATTAGTCCCTTTTTTCTTCAACGTTCACTCCGGTGTTTTGTGTGAGAAGTCCTGAAATGATAGTTAAATTCTGCTTGATTGATTATACCGGAAATCACTTTGTATTCGGTTCTTTAATAACCTAACGTGAAATCGGACAAAAAATAAGACCAGTTATAACCTGCGGAAAGAAAGACCGTATAATGTTTTTAAGAGGTTAAGATTATGCCATATTTCGAGTTTTCGACCGTCACTCATTTTAAACAATAAAAATTTCACTGCCAGCTGCATACTCCGAGCAAGCAACTCGCTGCTATTATCTTGAAGTTCTCTGTCACCTGAACGAGTTCAACCAGAAATTTCATAGCAAGCTTCAAGTTTCAAAAAGTAAGTCGCTGTTCTATACTGGATCTTAATCACCTCGCCCATTTCTACCAGATTATTACAGCTACCTTGCTTGTGTATTTCAAATTCGCAGCTCGATTCATTATGTATCACTCCTCGCTCAATTTAACTAATAGGTCATCCTAGGCCTTCTGGTAAACCCGGCAGAATAAGGTCTTATATATATTGGATCTCAATAAATGAAATTTTATAACATAACTTGCGGGTGTATTGTAAAATTTTTCCTTTTGAGGATAAAGTTGAATTTATTTTCACCTCTAATCTGCAAGTACTAGCACACCTGGGGCCGGATTATCAAAGCTTCGTAACTTTTTGTACTTACGACAAAAAAGTTCTGTGGTACGTAAATACACCCAATTTTGGCATTATCAAAACTTTCGTACGCAAGTCTTAGCTAAAAGCCTAAATTTTTTTCCCGCGCAAATGTTTTTATAATACCACCGCTAGTATTACGTTGTCATAGCAACGCCATTCGTAAGTCGATTTTGCGTACTTACGAAGTTTTGATAATACGGCCCCTGGCTACGGTTGTATCATACTGGCGTTTATTTCATTTGCACGTACATACTCTCTTGACAAGACTTGGAACATGGTTGAACTAGTACAAGTTTGAGCCATCAGAAGCCCATTTTTGCGTATATAGTTCGTTGTTAGCATGTGACGTCACTGATCCCAGTGACGTCACGAGCATTAACCAAACACCGAAATGCGATCAAACCAGTCAACCAATCCGTCATGGGTGTGACGGGATTGTTTACGTTTCTCGATCTACGTGACGTTACAAGAAAGCTGAACTGAAAGACAACTTCTCGCGGGTCAACTTTATATAGTTATAGGGCAGGGTGGCCCAGTGGTTACAGTTCGGAGTACCAAGATTGGCGCAGAAAGTCGCAGGTTCGATCCCAGCTCTTTGCGCCAGTTTCTAGTCAGAATCGGCAAGGAGGCCGGGCGGTTAAGCACAGCAGATTTGTAGCAGTGAGTTGCGAGTGCGAGGCCGCAAAATGTGAATGTTCTGCGATGTTAAGAATTGGCGACAGGCCTACGGCCTAATAAACGCTGAGACCGCTATATAGTTCAACCATGACTTGGAAGCCAAACGGGTTGCCTGCCAAAGACCACCACTGCCCTGGGTGTAATGGACCATCATGATTCCTGCCTTCCTGAACGTAGCCTTCTGGGCGATCGTATCTAGGCCGGGGGCGCAGCGGTGGGTAACAAAATTGACTCGTAAACAGGCCCTGGCCTAACGCAAACCATCAGCATGCAATATCTACACATAGCCTCAGATCAATGAGCTGTGGGTAACTCCGGCTTACAGTAAATCCGCTTTGCACAACACAGCCACAGTGAGCCACTGCTCAACAGCGCAACAGGCCCTACCGCAACAGGCGGCGCAAGTTAGGTTAGGTTACGTTAGGAGTAGCTATTGCGGTAGCCGGTAGGGCCTGTTGCGCCCGGCCAGTTGTGCTCCGGCCTGTGACTGAACGGCGCTGTTGTGGTGGGCGCTTTGTGTCAAAAGCCGTGAAGATGCCCGGCTGCGTTACGCTCGGAGTCGGGAAGGTATATGAATCGCACTGTGGACTTGAGCTATGCTGACCTCTAGCTATCCACCTATCTAGGCCTTGCGTCGAACCAGTCCTCGGTCGAACGGCCACTCGTCGAAGAAGCGATAAATTTTGGAACAAAACTATGCTGTCTGAAACTTAACCTCAGATGCGGTAAACGTAAAATCACGTAATTTTAACGATGCCTGGAAGTCATATTCGATCCGCGGTCTGGTGGTGCACGGCAGGTTTTATGCAAGGCCGGAGGAGGACAGAGCAGAGTGGTTCACGGCTGATTGATGGATGTCCGGAGAGATCCAAGGCGTTGAATTCAGGGCTTATTGGTGCGCAAAATTGGTGCTGCACGGCTGCGTTCCCAACCAAACTATGTTGCAGCTTGAATTCCGAATTTGGACTTGACTAGTACATCCATGGTTGAAGTTTGAACTTATATAAGGTTGACACATCTGAAGCCCATTTTTACGGATGTAGTACGCTTATCGCCTGTGAGTCACTGATCTCAGTGACGTCACGGGCATTAGCCAATCACCGAAATGCGATCTAACCAATCAACCAATCTGTCGTGAGAATGACGGGTTTGTTTGCGTTTCTCGATCTACGTGACGTACCAAGAAAGCTGAACTGAAAGACGAAACTTCTCGTTGGTCAACCTTATATAGTTCACCCATGAGTACATCCGTGCAGGTACCTCCAGGGATTGCGCTTGTGAGGTCATTATGCAGGACTTATAAATCACTAAATTTAATTGTCCCAAAAAGCTGAAACAATGATGTAAGATCATGACATAGTATTTTGAACTGAAGCAACAGAAACTTGCATCACCGTACAATGTTGAATTTAAGCAGTCGGTTGTCGCAACCATGGGTTGCTGGTCGAGTGGCGAGAAAATGTCCCCTCGGAAAGACAGTTCAGGGACCTACGGCTGTAACTAAACTAACAAGCGTGAAGCGTCAATGCGCTCCGACGATTGGAGAGTCAGCTACGTTCATCGAGTGAACATCTCTAGTGTCTATCTCCCTTGATTGCGTAAAGTTAACCGGCAAATAATAATTGATAATTCACGTTTAACTTGATCTTGGACTATACTTCTATATATACCTCGAGTATATTTAGTGAGGGTCCTGTCCAGAGTCAAGAACCCGGCTGGCTTTCTCGCCCCTCCCCTCTCCTCTTCTCTCCATGAGAAGAGGTAGTAGGCATAGTGGCAAAGCAGAGAGTTTTTTACTCTCCCTCAAGTTTATTTTTGAGTCCTATATGTAGAAAAGTAAAGTATCCTGGATACCTGCATTATCATATATAAGAAATTGGTTTAAATCATGAGTAAAATCAGTAAATGAGGATATTAAAAATAAACTGATTCTAAAAAATCTGTGGTTTGTCACTATGGTAGTAGGTAGGAGTAGGTTTGTGGGCCAGCCAAGGTTTGAATTTAGGTACGGTAGTTAAAATCCCATCATTTTAGTTCACTATTATCATCTCTTGCATATTAAAGTTATATTATTTTTCATGAAACCCTGGCCACGTCATTAAACAACTTGTCAATGTGATTTATTTATTTATTTTTTACTTCAAATTACTTGCATTTACATCTTTACATATACTGTGTAGTGTGTCAAGTGTATATTTTGTGTTTCAAGTCCAATCAGTTAGGATTCCTGCATAGTTTTGAATTGAGGTTTGGAATTTGGTAATATAACTAGCCACTAGGTAGGCTGTGCCGCTGTCAACATCAATATTATTTTGACTTTATTTATGCTGTACCATTTGCTGCGTAAACTTTTTCTATTCATATTAGTAAAATTAGCCTAGGTATATTTCATCTCTGTACCACTATTGAAAAAAAAATTATATATATTTTTCTTTAACTATTTGCTCCATTATATTTATTATTTATACCATATCAGCATTTATTCAATATATTTTTTTTTTGTATAACTGTAAGTTGCTACTTGTGAATTGTTATTGAAGGTAATAAATGCATAATGATAATGGCAGAGTCAGAGTCTGACATGCCTAACAGTGATGATGAGAACATTGTCCCGGAAACTCCGACACAAGATCCTGCTGGCCCTCTCCGGCAATCTGGACTCCAAGCATCTTTAGATGAAGACATCACTGGCCATCGACCATGGTCAGGAAGGTGCAGCGTGTACGCCGGAGGTTCGTTTTCGGATGTACGCCAG